CGCCCCGGGGCGCGAGATCGCGGCCGCGTTCGTACGCGACTACCGCGAGAACAAGGCCAACCCGCTCAAGCCCGAGCGCGAGATCTACGACATGGGCCTCGCGGCCATCAAGGAGCTCGTTGTGAGCGAAGCGCTGCACATTGTGTCGGCGCAGCACCCTCGGGCGCTCGAGCGGACGCTCGAGTGGACGCGCGGCGGGCCCGTCGAAGATGCGCTCTTCCGCTTCCAGGTCGACGAGGTCGGCCAGGCGCGGAATCTGCGCTACATTGCGTCGCCCATGGACGTGAGCCCCATGGACGTGTGCCTCGAGGCGCGCGCGCTCGCGGCGGAGCTCCACAGCCACGCCAAGTTTCCCCACGGCATTGCGCTCCACTGGTCGTACCCGCCGCCCGACGTCGACTACTCGGGCGCGAATCTCTACCGCGTGTTTCTCAAGACCATCGCCAAGCTCCAGCTCGTGGACCTTGCCAAGCTCACGACCAAGGACCGGCAGACGTTCTTCATCAATATTTATAACACCATGGTGCTCCACGGCGCGATCGAGCTCGGCGTGCCCCACACGTCGGACCAGTACAAGGCGTTTGAGAAGGAGATCGTCTACCGCCTCGGTATGATATCTTTGTATCAAGTTGATACGAGCGTTTGGATGTAGGGGGCCTCACGTTTTCGCTGGCCGACATTCGCCACGGCATTCTCCGCAGCAACCGCAAGCCGCCGTCCGCGTTCTGGGGCCGCCAGCTCGAGAACCACGACCCACGCATTGCGTACTGCTTCCGGACGCGCGACCCGCGCTCGCTCCTTGCGCTGCTCGAGTTTGCCGCGCCCTTGGCGACGCCGGCCGAGGCGGTGATTCTGCGACCGGGTCGCACGGACACGGACTTGGAGCAGGCCATGAAGGCGTACTGCGAGCGCCATATTGTGGTCGAGACCGTGCCACGCACCGTGCGCCTCCCCAAGCTCTTTAGCGTTTACCTCGAGGACTTTGGCTCGTCCGAGTCGGAGATGCTCGGGTGGCTCACGCAGTACATGAAGGACTGCCCGCCCGACATCATGCTGTACCGGATAAAGTACCAGCACGGGATCCTCGTCTAGTCGTCTATCTACTACTAATACTGTCGTCTGTATCTCCACAGTTGGATTGTCTGGCGCGTTGTAGACATACAGATATATATATATACGCGAGGGCGATTACAGAATGGTACAGAACGACTTCTTCTCTTTGGTCGGGCTCGGCTTCTTCGTCGTCGGCGCCTTCTTCGGCGCGTCCATGGTGCGGATCTCGCGCACGACTTGGAAGAAGCAGTCTTCGTTCTGGATGCGCTCCTTCGCCGACGTCTCCATGAAGGGACCAGCCCCACTCGCGCGCGAGCGCTTGGCCTTCGGCAAAGCTCACGTCGCGGTTGCGCTCGAGATCGCACTTGTTGCCGACGAGCACCATCGAGACGCGGTTCGTGTCCTTGGCGCGCAGGATCTTGTCCTTGAACGTCTTGATCTCGTCAAACGTCGTCCGGCTCGTGATGCTGTACACGAGCAGGAAGCCCTTGCCTTCGCGCATCCACTGGTCTTGCATCGTCGTGTACTCTTCCTGCCCCGCCGTGTCGAGGATGTCGAGGAGCGCCTGCTTCTGGTCGATCACGACCTGCTTGCGGTAGCTGTCCTCTACATGGCCCCCGCGTCAACCGCCATGCATCGGGCCCATCTTCACGTACCGATCGTAGGGTCGTAGTCCTCGAGGAAGTTGTCGGTGACGAGGCGGATGACGAGCGCGGACTTGCCGACGCCGCCGCTGCCGAGCACCACGAGCTTGTATTCGCGCGAGTCGGCCGACTGCATCTCTTCTTCTTCTGAGCGAACGGGCAAGTCAGTCGAAAAACCTCTCAGACTGCATACGTCAACGATCAGACCGGCACCAACGCCAGTGCGCACCAGCTGGCGTGGGTGAAAACACCTCTACGTTCTTATAACCTTGAACATCGCGTCCACCGAGTCTCATCGGCGCCTCGAAACGACCAACCGAGGAGCATGTCCATTGGCATCGGTGCGTCAACGTGTCGCCGTCGTGGGCCATTCGACACTGGTTACAGGGGACGCTACATTTGCCGCTCGATTCGCGCTCGATTCGACGCTCGTTTCGACGTTGTACCAGTACGGCGCGCGACAGTTGGACGCGAGCGCCTGCTGCACAAACAAGGCAGTGTCTATGGGGCATAGACACACACACAAGGTGGTTACCTGCCGTAGTGCAGCGTCTCGCCTCGTGTGGCGCGTTCAAGCGCGAGACGAGGCTCGAGCAGCCAATTCATGAGAGCATTTGTTATAAGCGTAATGTCCTGTGCATGAGATGGGGGGCCACTTCGTTCGAATGCACCAATCTTGTGTGCTCTTGTTTTCCGCCGATGGACGGCGACCGCGCAGACAACGTGCAAGTGGTCGAGGCACTCGCCATCGAAGCCATATCTGTGTGCTACCGGTCGGGGCTTGACGTCGAGTCGTCACCTTGGAGGTGCGTCACGCGCGCGTCGCATGAGGGTCTGCGACGTCGACGCGCCACGCTTGGACGATGCGAGAGCCCGTACACTTGCACCGATCTATGGCTCTAGCTCGTGCGCAGTGCCCTCTAGTAGCTGGCAAGTTTTCTCTTCGGGGCGCAAACGATCTTTGACCGATTCTGAAGCGGATTGGTCCGCCTCCATGATTGGCTCATATGTGGTGCTGAGCGTCGTGGCCATGCCACGTGGATGCTCCTGGCTTCGATCTTCGATGTGTATCTTCGTTTTTGCCTTCGACAATCGAAGCCACCCCAAAGATCGCTAGCCGCTCGCATGGACAGCACGAGCGACGAGGACCGGGACGAAGTGAGCGCGCTCGTGCACCCAACGATAGCCGTACGACTACATTGGTTCGCCATCGACTCAGGCGTACGTAGGCCAAGCGAAGCCATCGGCGGGTCAAGTCCATCGGCGTCGGTGGACGGCTCGAGCTCGCCAAGATCTCGACCGACCAAAAGGTACGCCCCAGTCTTTCTGGTTCTTGACGATAGCATGAGCCGAGGTGGAAATTCTCGAGACGGAGCTCCAACGCCAGTCCAAGGCGCTCGAGGAAGCCCAAGAGGAGACGCAGCTCGCGGCGCGCATTGGCCAGTCGCTCTTGCTTCAAAACCAAAAGCTCGACTACGAATGGGAGTCCAAGCTCGCTTCCGTACGCTCCATTATGTCGTACTCGATTGACAATCTCCTTGCAGATGACCAAGCAGCACAGCGACGACACGGCGCGGCTGCAGGTACGCACGCGCGCTCGCCTCGACACGCGACCCAAGCGCGCTTAGGTGCTCGAGCGCGACCTGGCAACGCTGCAGCACGACTACAATGCGCTGCGGTCGGCGCGCCTGCACGCGGACGCCGAGCTCGACCACCTCCGCATCGAGAACGCCGACCTCAAGTACACAAGAGGATCGTGCTCGCGTTGGTCCTCATGCTGTGCAGATGCAATGCCAAGACGACCGTCGACGATCTCTGTCGACTGCAGCAGCGGTATCGAAAGCTTCAGCAGCAGTACCGAGAGCTGCACGCGACGGTACCGCAATCACATCCGCTCGAGGCTCCTATCGTTGGCGGTAGCACGAAGCCTTGCAGTGCGACCACGTGAGTGCGACGAGCACAGCGCAGCGAGCGATGCACGACCTCAAGGTGGCGCGGGAAGCTGCGCAGCTTGTACGCGACCTCTATTCGAATCCCTTCTTACCTTGCGCCTTGCTCGACAGGCGGCCAAGGTGCACGATGCGAGGAGCCAGCAGCTTTCGCACTTGACGAGCGAAGCCAACACGGTGCGCGTGTTGCGCGACAAAATTGCGAGCTTGGAGCACCGCCACGCGCTGCAGTCGGACACCGTCGTGAGCCTCGTACACACCGCTCTTCCTCCCTCCCTCGTAGCGTCTCACCGGAGCATGGCGCGTAGAATGAAGAGAACGCAGGCCTGCGCGAGCGCGTGGCGTTGGCGACCGACCAAGTACACAACCACCGACGAGTTGGCGATGCACCACAGATGTATTAGGTGCTCACACTGACGAACGAGCGGCACATCATGGCCGAGCGGCTTGCGCACGAGCGCAACGTCGCCGAAGGGCTGATGCAAAAGTACGAAGAGTACCTGCAGCGATCCCCCGTGAGCCCGCGGAGTCCGCGCGACGGCTTCTTCTCGAGCGGGTCTCCGTGGAAGCAGCGGTCGCTCTTCCACGAGCTCTCGGTCCACCTCCGGCACGAGTGCAAACCGCCGGTCGTGCCCTGGACCGAGTGGCTCCTTGCGCACTCGAAATTGGGGCTCGCCCGGCTCTGGACGGTCCCGTCACCCGCCAGTCTCTGGCGCGCGCCACCGTACCCAGTCTGGAAGGCCACGGCGGTTTTGGTCGTCGACTGGCGACTCTACTGGATCGCGCTCACGAGCTGGGCGTGGCTGCCGTGGTATGGACTCCAACGCAGCCTCGAGGCGTACGTCGACCGCCACAAGGCGCGTCGAGCCTAGTCCTCTACTAATACACGGTTCGGAAATGGTAATAGTATGTGGAAAGGTTGTCTGTCGCCCTTGATTCCGGATACGGTTTTCCGGATGGCAGGCCAGTAATTTCTGCGGCGAGCAAACCAACCGCGCGATGTCGGAGGCCAAGGACGCGAACCTCTTTAGCGACAGCGGGTCCTCGGACGGCGGCAGCCCGAAGAAGGCGCCGGCCAAGGCGGCGGCAGGCTCCGACAACGAAGACATGGCGGACCTCTTTGGCTCGGATTACGACTCGGGCGAGGAAGAGTTCAAGGCCTCGTAGGCTGCGTGTCTCCATCCTGCTACGAGGCTCACGCACCTGTAGCGGTATCAAGGAGTCGCCTATCCGGGACGAAGATCGCGACGTTGCGCCCGCGCGCGCCATGCCGCGCGAGGTGCCCGATGCCCACCACGACGAACTGCACATCCCAAAGGCGGCCAAGGCGCCCACGAACACGGACTACTTCTTCACGCGCCCGCCCAACATCCTGCGCTTCGTGCCCGACGCGTACACACAGGCGAGCATTCAGAAAGAGAAGGAGGAGACGGGCGACGAAGGCCTCTACCGCAACTACGTGCGATGGCGGTACGCGACCGACGCCGACGGCAACGTCCTTGTACGCACTCGACACACTTGTATCCGGCGACCTACGTAGCACATAGGTGGATCCGGCGACGGGGCGTCCGAAGCGCGAGTCGAACACGCGCATCGTCAAGTGGGAGGACGGGACGTATACGATGTTTGTCGGCGACGAAGCGCTGACGCTCACCCAGCAAAAGGTCGCCAACTCGTTCATCTTTGCGAACGAGCAGTCGACGGACGAGACCGTCCTCGAGTGCCACGGGCGCGTCTCGAAGAAGCTCACGATCCGCCCGATCGCGACCACGTCGTCGTCCCACCAGAGCCTCAAGATGTCGATGCGGGCGCGTCACAACAAGGCCGTCGTCCGCATCCAAGAGTACATTTCCGAAATCGATGGCACGCTCGACAAGGAGCAACGTGCGAACGCGCGCCAGGAGAAGATGCGTCTCCAGAACCGCAAGAAGCACCGCGACGGGTACGAGTACGACCGCGACCGCTCGAGCCGCATGGACGCCGGCTTTCTCGAAGAGGGCTACGACGGCGTCGAATACGACGACGACAACTTGTCTGCGATCAAGCAGCAGTACGGTGGGCGCGGCGCGGCCAAGAAGCCGGAGAAGCCGATGAGCAAGCGGCCGGCGGCTCCGCGCCCCGGCGGCCTCGACGAGTACCGCATGAAGCAGCGCAACCGACAAGCGTCGGACGAAAGCGAGCCGGACGACGACGATGACGACGACGAGGAGGAAGAGATGATGCGTTCGTCGAGTGCCAAGAAGCGCCGGACGTTGGTCGACGAAGACGAGTCGGACTAGTTGAAAGCATCCTCAAATTCCATGGCATCTTATCTCGATACACTATCTACGTCGTGCGCTTCAAAAAGAGAGCCGAGTCGAGAAGGCCCGAGTAGGCGTACTGGAGAGCGTACTGGTCGGCGTCGGTCCAGCCGCTCTCCCACTCGTTCCAGCGCGACTTCATGCGGATCGCCTTCATGTAGCGGTAGATCGAGAGGTCGGCCTGCGGCAGCACGAGCAGCAGCGTCTGCGGCGGCAGCTCGCGCGCCAGCTTGGTCAGCGACGCGTCCAGCTCGGTGATCGCCGCCACTTGAGCGCGCTTCCAGAGGTGCACCGTGTCCATGTACAGCTTGGGATCGCGGCTCGGTACCGCATCCACTTCATACCACAGCAAGTCCTTTGTCGCCGCATCGGGCGTCAGCGTCAGCGAGTCGTAGCTCGCCACGTCAGCGGGCGGTGCATTTGTGATGGCGTTGGCGAGCAAGTCGTTGAGGTCCCCGCTCGAGTAGAGCGCCCATGGCTTGGGCAAAGCGGTGGCGGCGACGCGTCCAAAGTGCTTGGTCGCGTCCGGCAGCTCCTCGAGCAGCGTCGTGTAGGCGCGGCTGCAGGGCGGCGGCGTCGGAAGCCCGACGCAGAGCCCGTCGCGCCGCTTGAGCTGGAAGAGGCGAAGCGCCGCGATGGCATCTTGCGCCGAGTCGTGGCCGCCTTCCATGTCCTGGATCGTCTCGTTCAAGAAGGTGCTTGCAAGCGCCTTGAGCGACGGCTTGAAGGGGAACCCACGCTGGTGCGGAAACAAAATCGCCGTGTCGGCGACACGGAGGTGCACGAGCCGCAGCGCCTTGAGGTCGCTATCGAGCGAGTGGCCAATGAGCAGCGTCGAGGCCGAGAAGAGCGAAAGCAAATGGGCTTGGACGTCGTCCAACGTCGTCTTGACGTCGGCGAGCGACTCGGCTGTGATGCCGCTAAACTCCGTGTGGTAGTTCAAGATCGTGCTCCGAGGTTTCACGAGCGTGTCGTAGACGGTCGCGCCGTCGGCGTTGACGACGGTCACGCGCGTGAGCTCCGAGCCGAGGTCGGTCTCGCACATTTCGCAGTCGAGGGCGAAGAGGTTGTCGACCTCGTCTGGTTTATCGTCTAAGGGCATCGTGGCTTTGTACACGTCCATCGAGCGGTTCTTGGTCGTCTTCATGAGCAAATGCTGCTCGACAGTCACGTCCATCGGGTATCCGTACGCGATCATCTCGTCCCGCGACAAGATAAAGTCCTCCAACGTCGGCTCGGCCGTCCAAAGCGACGGCAGGGACGGCGTTGCCAGCGCCGCGTTGACCTTGGCCGCGCGGAGCACCGTAACCTTGAGCACGCGCTTCACGAGAGGTCGCTCCGGGTCGAGCGACGCGAGTCCGTACTGCTTGTCGAGCGTCGCGCTGGTGCAGAAGCCGCGCAAGCGGTCGTCTTCGGCCATGAGCACGTCGATCGCCGTCACGACCTGCGGCTTGGACTCGTCAGCGTCGTCGTTGTTTCTCGCCAAGGTCCATTGCAAGTGCAGAAGGTCGCCGTCGAGCTTCCACTCGCCCGACTGCAGCGTGGTCTTGCGGAAAAAGGTGCCAGACGGCTGCAAGATGATCTCGTCGGTCCAGCCGCGTGCGTCCGACGTATACTGCGCCAGCAGCGTGACCTCGTACTTGCCAAAGAGCTCGTCGGGCGACAGCACGCTAGTAGAGGATGAGGAGTCAGTCGATCGGTGAAGAGTGCAATGCGTACTCGAGGTACGTGGTTGCGAGAGGAAAGCGGAAGAGCGACTCGGACAGCGCGACTTCCTTGGGCTTTTGCGACGTCTTGAGCGCCGTCGCCGACGCGAGGCCGCATGGCACGGTCGAGCACGACTCGAAGAAGGGCAAGGCCACGTCCGGGCTCGTGACCGCCCGCCCCAGCATGTCCGGGTGCACGCCCTTGGCCAGCACGATGCATACTTTGCTCGGGTTCGGGACGCCGTCGTACGACTCGAGGAACGGACTCACGTTGGCGTCGGCCTTGAGCGTGTTGGTCACAATCGCTTGGACGTCGTCGATCGCGAGCCGCGCGTACACCTGCGCCAACCGCGCTTCGGCGAGCCAGAGGTTAAAGTTGAGAAGCACGCGACTGCTGCGCGCTTGGTACGGCTCGCGGAGCACACGCGAGAGCTCCTTCTGCTTTTCTGCGGCGGAGAACGAGTCGTGCTTCTTCGTCGGCTGCTGATCTTTGGGCGGGGCAGGACGAGCCGTCTCGGTCCGGCGACGCTTGTTCTCGGGCGAGCGTGGCGGGCGCGGCTCCGCAGGCTGCTGACGCTTTCGCGTGTCGAGCGGACGATCGGCGATCGGCGTCTG